TGTCAATGCATATGGCCAATTACAGTCCAGTAAAGAGCTCAAATGTAATAAGAGTCTAATGAATTATGTGAGAGGGGCTACTCCAGAGGTCGGTAAACCTTGGAGGGACTGTAAATACTTGTATCTTCCTTGTTGGACCCGCGACCATTGGTTTGCAGTTCAAGTCGACATTGAGGAATGGGCCATTTTAATGTTTGATAGTCTGAAAGATCACATTCGTCGGGCAGCGTTGGAAGCTTACCTTTTGCCTCTCTACAGGTTCTTATTCCGTTGATAATAAAATCTCATGTCACCAGTGAAAGCAAATATAGTATGGAGAACTTCAAATTTGTGAACGTAAAAGATGTTCCCCAACAAGTGAACGGGTAAGAATGACTAATTTCATAATTAGTAGTACCATATTATCTTGAGTGTTGAAAATTAATACAAAAAATTTACAACTTTTTTGTAGATCCGATTGTGGAATATTTGCTCTCAAATTCATAGAATTTCTACACGCAAATATGGACGTAAATACAATTCGACCGAATTACGTACCAGTATGGAGAAAGAAACTGGCTGCAGAGTTGTTGGCTTGGGATTTTGAGTCGTAGATTGTGCTTTGCTCGTATTTTTTTTATATTTTTATAACATTACGTAGTCACTTGGTTGTTTTGGCTTTGGAGTAGCAGCTATTTTGGAGTTTGAATACAATTTCAATGCACATATTTTCTATTGTCTTCTATAACTTTAAAGTTTAGATATGTCCATGTCAGGTTGTTGAGTTTTACATATACAAGCCTACATGTTTTCCATTGTCTTCCATTGTCATATCGTTACAATGTAAGATGCACACTGCTATCCTTATTTGCATAACGACTTAGAACTCGTAATGACCACACATAATGACTCCGAAGTCATTTTAATTAAAATTGATACTAAAACAATTTAAAACTCTTTCCTGAGACAAAAAATGACATGCATATCGTTGCAATGTTAAATATACAATGCTTTTCTGATTTTGGGTAACAACTTAGAAGTCGTTATGACCACACGTAACGACTTCTAAGTCGTTTCAGTTAAAATTAATACTAAAACGATTTCGACCTCATTCCCAAGACACAAAATGACATGAATATCATTCCAACGTTAAATACACACTGCTTCTCTGATCTTGAGTAACAACTTAGAAATCGTTATAACCTCACATAACGATTTATAAGTCGTTTCAGTTAAAATTGAAACTAAAACGATTCCTACATCATTTTCGAGACACAAAATGACATTCATGTTGTTTCAATGTTAAATACACACTGCTTCTCTGATTTTGCGTAACGAATTAGAACTCGTTATAAACATAAATAACAATTTAAAAGTCGTTTCAGTTAAAATTGAAACTAAAACGATTTCTAAATCGTTTACGAGACACAAAATGACATTCATATCGTTTCAATGTTAAATACACACTGCTTCTATGATTTTGCATAACGACTTAGAACTCGTTATGAACATAAATAACGACTTAAAAGTCGTTTCAGTTAAAATTGATACTAAAATGATTTCTAAATCATTTTTGAGACACAAAACGACATTCACATCGTTTCAATGTTAAATACATACTGCTTCTCTGATTTTGCGTAACGACTTAGAACTCGTTATGAACATAAATAACGACTTAAAAGTTGTTTCAGTTAAAATTGATACTAACACGATTTCTACCTCGTTTCTGGGACTAAAAACAACATTCATATCGTTTCAATGTTAAATACACACTACTTCTCTGATTTTTCGTAACGACTTAGAACTCGTTATGAACATAAATAACGACTTAAAAGTCGTTTCAATTAAAATTGATACTAAAATGATTTCTACCTCGTTTCAGGGGCACAAAACGACATTAATATCTTTTCAATTTTAAATACACACTGTCTCTCTGATTTTGAGTAACGACTTAGATATTATTATAGGCACACATAACGACTTCTAAGTCTCGTCAGTTAAAATTGATACTAAAACGATTTCTAAATCGTTTCTGGGACACAAAATGACATTAATATCGTTTCAATGTTAAATACACACTGCTTCTCTCATTTTGAGAAACGACTTAGACCTCGTTATGACCAAAAATAACGACTTAGAAGTTGTTTCAGGTAAAATTAGTACTAAAACGATTTGAAACGCGTTCCCGAGACACAGAACGACATGAATATCATTTCAATATTAAATACACACTGCTTCTCTGATTATCGTTTCTTCTCGTTCAGAACGACATTGAAATTGTTCTAGCGTAATTGTTCCTGAAAGTTGATCCATCTCGTTTCATTATAAACCGCCCGAGTTCGAAATCCTTTCAGCTGAAATTATAAGTGCAACGACATCAGTATCGTTTCTTCACAATTGAAACGATATTAATATCGTTATGCTTAAAAATGGCGTTTTGGCCATCCACGATCACCAGCATACATCCCACCGTACGTATGACGATGAAAATAGGTCATCGAGCTGGCTCAATCTCACTTGAACGATGCTATGGTAACGTTTGTTATTTCTTAGTTGTCTTTCACACTCAGGTTGTTTCGATAGAAACAGAGAATCTCCGTTGGTTCTTTCGGGCCATTCGAGAGCTACCAGCCCACTTGATACGCTCTTTCGACCGTCATACACATTTCGGAGGTATGTGGAGCGATCAAGGAGGATCAAAACGTCATTTTGCCTCTAACCTCCTCTTCTAACATTATTTCAGTACTTGGTACATAACGATATGTATGTCGTTCTTTGTGTAATTTTACGACTTCTAACTCGTTTCAGTTTATATAATATCTACAACGACCTCAAAGTCGTTTCTTCAAGAAAATAACGATATTTATATCGTTATACCTAGACACGACGTTTCGACCGTCCTCGATCGCTGCACATACCTCCGAAATGTGTATGACGATCGAAAGAGCGTAACAAGTGGGCTAGTAGCTCTCAAATGGCCCGAAAGAGCCAACGAAGATGCCCTGTTTCTATAGAAACAATCTGAGTATGAAAGACAACTATGAAATAACAAACGTTACCATAGAGTCGTTCGAGTGAGATTGAGCAGGCTCGATGACCTGTTTTCATCGTCATACGTACGGTGGGACGTATGTCGGTGGCCATTGATGGTCGAAATGCTATTTTTAAGCATAATGATACTAATGTCATTTCAACTGTGAAAAAACGATACCGATGTCGTTGCACTTATAATTTCAGCTGAAACGATTTCGAATTCGGCCGGTTTATAATGAAACGAGATGGATCAACTTTCTGGAACAATTACGCTAGAACAATATCAATGTCGTTCTGAACGAGAAGAAACGATAATTAGAGAAGCAGTGTGTATTTAACATTGAAATGATATTCATGTCGTTTTGTGTCTCAGGAACGCGTTTGAAATCGTTTTAGTACTAATTTTACCTGAAACGACTTCTAAGTTGTTATTTTTTGTCATAACGAGGTCTAAGTCGTTTCTCAAAATGAGAAAAGTAGTGTGTATTTAACATTGAAACAATATTAATGTCGTTTTGTGTCCCAAAAACGAGTTAGAAATCGTTTTAGTATCAATTTTAACTGACGCGACTTAGAAGTCGTTATGTGTGCCTATAACGAAATCTAAGTCGTTACTCAAAATTGGAGAGGCAGTGTGTATTTAACATTGAAATGATATTATTGTCGTTTTGTGCCCCTGAAAAAGGTAGAAATCGTTTTAGTATCAATTTTAACTGAAACGACTTTTAAGTCGTTATTTATGTTCATTACGAGTTCTAAGTCGTTACGAAAATCAGAGAAGCAGTGTGTACTTAACATTGAAGCAATATGAATGTCGTTTTGTATCCCATAAACGAGGTAGAAATCGTGTTAGTATCAATTTTAACTGAAACGGCTTTTAAGTCGTTATTTATGTTCATAATGAGTTCTAAGTCGTTCTGCAAAATCAGAGAAGCAGTGTGTATTTAACATTGAAATGATATGAATGTCGTTTTGTGTCTCGAAAACAATTTAGAAATCGTTTTAGTATCAATTTTAACTGAAATGACTTTTAAGTCGTTATTTATGTTCATAACGAGTTTTAAATCGTTACGCAAAATCAGAGAAGCAGTGTGTATTTAACATTGAAACGATATGAATGTCGTTTTGTGTCTCAGAAACGATTTATAACTCGTTATGTTAATCTGTACAATTTTTGAACTAGAACGACATTCATGTCTACTGTAACGACATGAACGTAGTTTGCATTCCCTGTGAGAAAATAGGAACATGAATACCTAAAATACTAAAATTTGATCCCAACGGTACAAAAATATTTCAATAACACAATGAGTATAAAATCTAATAAGTGATTTCATTCAGTTGATATAATAAGTACGAAGTCGTACAATTACAAAACAGGATAGTGTTACAACATTAATGTTCACTACTAGCTGCTTGGCCCGTGCAAGTGGATCGAACATGACTAGTTTTCTTGCACCTGCTGCACTTACGAGCCACACGCGTCTCTCCGACTGACCTTTTCCTCTTTTTTGATGGTCGTCCGCCTGTCTTCGTACCAATGGTGGAAATACTTCTTTGGCTATCACATTCTTAGGAATTTGCCATTCGACCTCGTTCGGCAAAGGATATACGAATTTAAAATAAGCTTGCTTCTAACAAATACTAGTGTAAAAGAGGGTACATAATTTATAGCCCTCGTCTCCTTTAAACCTTGCTGCAGCAATTGCATGCGCACATGGAAACTTGTCCAAATTAAATCTTCTACACGTACATGTCATTTCGTAAAAATCCACAAAGTGGTATTCTAAATTGTCACCAACTTGATAAATGTATGGAGAAACCTGATTTACCTCCAACCCATTTGACTCATTATATGTCATGCACATCTTTTTCTCTAATGCGGGCGTGAGTTGGGTCACACATTTTTCTGTTTCAACATATCTTTTATAAAACCACCTTTGTAGTATCCCATGAATATATTCTAGTAAACCAACTATGGGAAGTTCTCAATCACTCTTCAACAAACCATTTATAGATTCTGCATTATTTGTAGTCATGCTATTGTAACGTATCCCGGTAAAATGCACTCTAGCCCAACATTGAAAATCTTCTTCTAAAAGGTACTCTTTGATGCCCTCCTTTTTACTGCATAGAGCTATCATGTAGGACTCAAATTCGGTTACAGTATAAGCCTCTGATGTTGCCCTAAACAAAGTTGCAATATCACACCGTGGAAAATTTGTCTCCAAGTTCTTTTGCAAGTGATATGTACAATTACCATGATGAGCAAATCGAAACACATTTCTAACTCCATTTTTGATGCACGTTGCACGGTCAGATATAATCACAAGGTCATCCGTATCACCTGTTATTTACCGCAACTTCTAAAAGAACCAAGTCCAGGATTCATCATTCTCCGAATCAACTACTCCCCATGTGAGTGGAAATATTTGAAAATTTGCATCCTAAGAAGTTGCAATGAGTAGAGTACCTTTCATTCTCGATGTCAAGAATGCACCGTCTATAGAAATTACCTTTTGCATTGAGTTTACGAACCCATGTATACTTGGTCCCAATGCCATAAAAAGGTACTTGAAGTGCCGATCATCATTAGTATGAATGAATGTTAGTGTACCAGAATTTTGCATCTCCAAAACATGACAATACGCTGGCAATTTCGCATAACTCTCACGGGGTTTTCCACGAATTAGTCCACAAGCAAAATTTTTAGCCATGTACGCTTTAGTATAGCTTACGGTTATGCCGAACTCTCGACGAATGTCATTAACAATGTCCCTTGGTCTGTAAACTCGGTTGACATCTTCATACTTAGGAGCGATGTGGTTTCCAATAATCATATATGAAGCATGCCTATAATCTTTGTGACGAACACTCATGGAGCAAGAATGATGACCATTGTACTTTCGAACTTCGAAAATGGGACTTTCTACGATCTCGGTTGCCCGTAAGCGGCACTTGTAATTTTCATCAATACAAACAATTGTATAAGTGCTCTTATTTGACTTCTTAACTTTGTACTCAAACTGGCACTTCACAGCTAGCAACTGTAATTTTGATATTAGGTCATATTTCGATGGAAACAACTGGTTGACTCGCACATCTAATCGTTCCAGAATTTTTACTGATGTCTCGTAACAGAGCGAACTTACACTTTCAGATACAATTTGAGTACATTCAACATCATTACCATTCACTATATCCCTACTGCAAGGTTCATGCGTGCGTAACTCAAAATTATTGTCATCTACCACAGGAGAATTAACTTCGTCATCTACTCTTCGGGGACTATGTTCACTTACGTCAAAACCATTACAATCTACAAATATTCCATCACCATTGTCATCATTACCATCATTGTCTGCTCGATCTTGTTCCTCCTCGTTGTTCATATTTCCAATTTGTTCTCCACCATCTATTACTAATAAACATCCTTCATCACCAAAATCTTCCTGATTCTCAACAACTTCATTTAAAAGACTTACACAAAGAAAAGTTTCTGTACAGGCAGATATAAACCACTTTAAGTTGTTGTCACAATCAATTATGATTGGTGCAGCTAGAGTTTTAGACATTATCTGGACAAGAGCTGAAATCTCCATTTTGTATAGACTCGTATCGATATTCAATACCTCCTTAACTTTATCATATAGTTCCATGTAAAAAATTGTTTTTGCAACAAGAATAGGTATTGTTTTCCCTTTGCCATTTCCAGAATACTTCCATTTCCATCCACCTTCAACTGTCTGCTCATATTCAATTAGATAACAAACCGATATCCATACCATGTCCATGGTGTCCATAACCTGTAACTCAACATATAGCTTTCACCAAATTTCAAACATCATACAGTATTGATAATGATATGTACGTTGTCATGGATTTCAGAAAACGATATCTATGTCGTTCACAATTTCATAAAACGATATGAATGTCGTTCTGTACTGAAAAAATCAAATACACGTTTCACGTGAAAACATTGTGAAAAAGCCAATCATCCTTCACCACTTTACATTTCACTTTAATTAATACTAAGGAATACAAATAAGGGGAAGCGAGAATAAGATTGGGAAGTAACCCATTTAAAGATCCAATCAAATCATAAAATAAATTCAAAATCATTATTGAATAATAAACACCACAAACACATATACAACAACATGAACCGATGATTCAAAACAATGGAGAAAGAAAGTGGCTCAAATATCGAAAATTTACCATACCCTCTCTTCTACTCCAAATGCCCAATAAAAATATAGCAAGACTTTATTATTCACTTCAACCAAATGAATGTTCAAGGGAATGAGAACGTAGATTTTGTGATTTCATTAAGTAGAGAAGAAGATGATGATAAGAAAATCAGAATGGAGGCATCTACGATGGTTGAGTCGTTCATAGAAAAGGGAAGGACATTATGGTTGAAAGGAAATTGAAATGAAAATAAGGGCAATATCATCATTTCACATAAAAGGATATTTTAATCTTTTACAAATCCTATTTTTCATATTTAATAACTTTATGCCTTTCAACTAAAAGTCTTAGTTCTTGATCTTCTTAAATAAAATGTTTAGTTCGACCAAACCTTTTAAATGAATCCCCCTAAAAGCAATGTTGCTTTTTCACCCTTTTAAATTATTCAACTAACGGTTAAATGGATGGTTCCTGTTCATTTAGACCTCACATGCGTATCTTTGAAAGATTTGGTATGATGGGTTGCACAAAGTGAAACTGCAATTTCCCCTTTTGGATATCAAAATTTACCTTCCTTTTATGCCGAAAATACCAAGTGGTCCATTTTCATGGTGGTTTTTCCACCGCCCAATATTCTGTCACCCAGTGTCTCACGGCTAAAGTAGAATAATCCTTTTCATAATTGTCAATAAAACCAGTCCTCAAGAAATACGGTGCTAATAATAAGGAATAATTAATTTTGAGTGTAATTGCAAGGAGCTCCCGCTTGAGCCTGCCTCAGCCTGAAACCAGTGGGAAGTCCAAGAAATGGTAAATCACTTGATCGTTGGCCGCCGGAGCAGCCCCTTTTCTTCAAGGTAAAGTCTACAGCGAAACCCTAAATTTTTAATGAATTTGTAGGAGTGCAGCTGAAAGAAAACACAAAAAACACACAGAGAGACAAGCGCAGATCATTTCTATGGCGTGGTAGCTGAATTAATCTACTCCATTTACGCCACTGTCCACTCGAGTTTCTGATTCTTGGGTTATATTCGTAAATGATTGCTTTGAATTATTTGCAAATTTGATCCGTATAATACCATAGTCTGTGAGAGTCAATGGAATGAAAATTGTTCTGACGTGATTATGTTTCCTTTGCAACCAGGTAAAATTATTGATAGGGGAAAAGAAGTACAAAAACACCACCAATAGAAGTATTTAGCAGTCGTACAAATGCAATTTTTTTTTTTAATATTTGTAAATGTCATTATATTATACTGTACTTGAGGCTCTACGATGGTTTCTCTTTCACCAATTTTACCCTCTAGGAAGCAAGGGGTTGCCCTTTTTCTTTTTTCCGGCGATTGGGTAATAGCCATGTGCAATTTACATAGGGAGAAAATGTTGATCCGTTCAAAGAATTGAAGATTGTGTTCATTTATGAAGTAGGATGATCATAATTTGCCTACCATTATTTTCTTGTATGTTTGAACAAATATGAATTATATGTTAACTAGAGAAAACATGATATGTCATGAAGAATAATAATTTCTATGAAGTGGGGTAATCATATGTCACAGCATGAACCTCGGTTGGAGTTCTTCCACCGTAACTAGACTTGCAGTGAATCAGCTGAATTTAGCTCAATCTGGAACTAAATTAAAGATAAAAAGAACTGGGGTGGGATAAATGATGAAAGATAAGAATTAGTCGCGGAGGAATTGAATTTTAATTTCTTCAATTAACAACCAAATCATAGATGAAATATCAGATGCCTCTCGCACATAGGTTGGTTGGATATATAACCAACCAAAAGAAAGTCGCATTTTCGAAATGAAAGAACAAAAACTTTTTTCTTAATTTATTACTATTTACTCAAGTAAAACGACACCGTATGCTATATATAAAACGATGCCATCTAGCACTTCAAAAAGCCGTTAATTTCTGTTGGTCACCTTCTTCCTCTTCTTCTGGTTTCTTATTCTTTTCTCTTCTTGATCAGATCCCTCTCTATCCCCACTTACTCCCTGCATAACATTGTATTTTGAATACGTTTACCATGTGCATGTATGAAAATTATGTAGTGAATACAAATGATGAACTTTTGCTCGAGCGAATCATCACAAATGGATATTATCTCCCGTTTATATGAGTACAGTTGATTGAAGGCCTGAAGTCTCTAGCCTGATTAACTGTCTTTTCATCCAGCAGCACAATGGTTGATTGGTCGAAGCTTCCATATGACCTCGTTGTATCAATAGCGAATCAATTGTTTGAAGTTGAGGATTTTCTTTCGTTTTCGACTGTTTGTCGATGTTGGCGACTGGTTTATCTCAAGAAACATTGGATTCCAAATCATCATATTCCTTGGCTCATGCTCGGTGAGTACACTGAAGGTGACGTCTCCATAAGACAATTCTTAAGTTTGACCCGATTTAAGATCTACAAATTCCCTCTACCAGAAGCTAATGGTTGCCGTTGCTGGGGAACCTCTCATGGGTGGATTGTGACTCTAAGTCAAAGTTTTGCGATTCGTCTCGTGAACCCTCTCACTCGAGCTTGCCTCGATCTTCCTCACCATTCCATGTTGAGGAGCCAAGGTGATATTGAAGTTGATTGGTTTGCAGCCATACAAAAAGCCGTTGTCTTAAAAGTTCGGGATGATTTTGTGACGATGGTTATATATAGATACAATCGCTGTCTGTCTTTTGCTAAATATGGAGATGGTGCATGGACCGTTGTTCCGTTCTCCAATCTGGTTTACCTTGTAAATATTGTGTGTTTTAAAGATAGAGTTTTGGTACTTACGATGGTTGGAACACTAATACTTATTGAAATGGAGGGGCCTGATGGTCCAAGAGCACGCTGCATTGCTTCACCACCGGGCGATGAAAGGGGTTGGGAGAACATGTATTTGGTAGAATCATCAGAAAGTCTTCTGCTCGTACTGCACTATAATCATCGCTCAACGCACAGGTTTAAAGTTTACAAGTTTGATATATTCAAAAGGAAGTGGATGGCAGCAGTGGACTTGGGGAACAATGTATTATTGATCGATAATTATGGTTGTACTTCAGTTTCTGCTTGTGGCTCCATCAAACCTAATTGCATCTACTTTGCACAAGATAACTTGGGATCTTCAGTGGTACCTCAGCAAGAACTGAAAATGATTGTGTTCAACATCAAGGATAACAGAACTGATGTTCAGCGACTTAATGCTTCTAGTTTTTATGACTGTCCAGTGTGGACAACGCCTGCTCTTCGGTAGAAAGTATTTTTCTTTTCTGTTTGTGTATGTTTGATGGTGTCTAAAAACTGATTGTATAAAGAGCCTAAAAAAAAATTAATCTGAAATCTTCTCTTGTCACTGTGCATCTTATTGATATTTATATAGTAGTAGATTGTTTGATACGTTTAAACTGTTCATT